AGAGAGAGAGAGAGAGAGAGAGAGAGAGAGAGAGAGAGAGAGAGAGAGAGAGAGAGAGAACAGTGCGAGTGTCGGACTCTGGAGAGCAGCGACCCGTTCGCAAGGAGGACCAAACGCAGCCGCGGCAGTCAAACGATTGTGATTGTTATGGCTGTTGTGATTATTTAGCCTCCTCAGGGAACCGCGAGCGAGCTTCAGCAAGCCCTTCACGCGCTTGACGCGAATGTTTGACATTATCTCCTAACGAGGTGCGGCACAGTAGGACAAGCTCCCCAGGAACGCGTTGCGCCTGCTTGTGAAGGCGGAGGCCATCAAACTATAGTCGACTCGACAACAACCAGTTGCACACATGCAATCAGACACCCACGCTCACGCGGCTCACAGTCAGCACGGGCGTGACTGCGATGCAACTCGGCTCATTACATTACACTGTACCGGGCGGTCAGCGAGGCGCTATGGGAGCGCCGGGGGGGAGGGTGAAACAGGAACAGAGAAAGAGGAGAGGCAGAAAGAGAAAGAGCGAGAGACAGACAGACAGACAGACAGACAGACAGACAGACAGACAGACAGACATACAGACAGATTATCCATCAGCCGAAAGGAAATACGTCAGGCGGAGGTGGGGCGGGCACTGCAGGCGGGCACAAAGGAAAAGGCCGGGGCTCCAACGGGCCGGGCAAGCCGGCAGAAAAGCAGCAAAGGACTTCCCTGATCGCTGCGAACGACGTAGGAGACCGCAAAGGACCCGGACCCCAATCTCCTCCTGCTGCTGCCGCCGCTGCATGCCTGTGAGAGGAAACAGGGCGAGGGGAGAGAGAGAGAGGTAGGAGGGGGAGATACACGGCGAGAGATGCATAGATAGAAGGGTAGATAGCGGAGGGGTAGAGAGGAGAGAGTGAGCGGCTGGATACAGAGGGGAGGGGAGGGGGTTGGATCAACAAGATGAATTTTTCATGAGAGGTAGTGGCGCCGCCGCCCTGTATCGGCTGTGAATATTGCACACATTGCAGGAAGAGAGAGACGCGCGACGGGGAGGCGACGAGGTGGGAGGGGGAGGAGCGGACGAGCCGGGTAGAGTAAGGTGAGGTTGGAGGTGGGGGGCAAATTCGCAGGTTGGGGTAACAGCAGCCAAGTGGGGAAGGGTGTGCACCACGCCCGCCCCCGCCCCGACACATCCCGCTCGGTTGGCATGACCCCAGGTCGCGGATCGAGGATCGGTTTCTTCTCTACCCCTCCTCTTGCTCGCAATATCTTTCGCGGCTGTAGATGAAACAAATGAGAGACTGAAAGATGGAATGACTAGCGTGCGACAGCCTAGATGATAATTTCTCGTTGGTTTTCGCAAAGTGTTTTGACCAATACACTTAAAAAAAATCACTAGTGAGAGTTCCCACACTAGTCCTAGTTGGCTGCTAGTTATTATTACTAAGGAATTATTAGGATCTCAGTGCTATATAGCATAATGTATACCTATAGGTACTAGCACAATTACTATTGCCATATACCAGGTGGCGATTAATCCCGTTTACTTCTCTAGTTATGCTGTACCGCACGCACCAGTCCACTCGTGCAAGCACTCAGCGCCTGGTAGATAGGCAGCATCTTCCCTGCTGTGCATGCAAGTAGCGCAGGGTGGCCTACCCTGAATCGCGCAGGCGCCAAGCTCCCGTAAGTAAGTAGCCGAATGAATCTAAAAAAAAACCTGATGTGTACTTCCTGGACAAGCCTAATATCCCAAAGATCACAATACAAGAATAGTTGTTGTGTGGTGCGGTGTGAATAAACCAATACTGTTAGACTGCCCAGAATATTCACTGGAAAAAGAAAGTCGCTGTCCAATACCTTTGTAGATGCATTAGTGAAAGTGCCTTTACAAAGGCACTATTGACTCCCAAAGATACAATTTTCAGCAATTTTATTACCTTGACAGTTGCACTACTGCAGCAGCCCCTTCAAAAAAAGCAATACATCCCAGGGAGAATGCTTCTGTCAAGATGACGTCTAAGTGGTGTCATTGGCTGAGCGATTAGCGAAGCCTATTACTCCAGTGATCAAAAATTTTCGCGTCTGGTTGTTTGTTTTTTGTCATCACGATAACTCGAGAACGGTTTGAACTTGGAGCCTAAAATTTGTATGGTAACTTTGTATCATGGAAAGCAAGAACTGTATAGATTTTGAGCCCTCTACCTCAAAAATTGGCCGAAAACGGGCGATTTAAAAATCACTTGAAAAATGTTGCTAATTTTCAAATATGTTTTTATGGTTTCCTAAGGGGTAACTCGTTAAAGTAGAACCCTGGGCACAAAAATTTCGTCTGTTTGGCTCTATCTCCAACCGTTTAGTCGCCAGAGGGAGTTTTCCAAGCGGAAATTGCACCAAAACATTTAAATTTATTTTATCAGATATTTGATGGTCTCTGGTGAGGTAACTCGTCAAAATAAAACCCCAGAGGTCAAAATTTGTGGCTTTTGGGGCCGAAGGACTATTTACAACTGTGCCTTTTGGCCGACTCTGGTGTCAGCGCCGCAGGCCTAGGTAGATGTATGCCAGGCGCGTCGAAGCGTAACAGTGGGGTCTGGCGTACATCTACCTAGTAGATAATGGGAAAACAAAGGCAGTGAATGATACCGTAAAAAAGCACGTAAGTCACTGTCAGGGGACAGCATCATTACTAATACTGACTGTCACGTCTCGCGTAACAGGCTTCGCGATATCTCACGCGTACATATATGCCTCCATTGTGTTGAAGGAGGACACATTTAGATATCAAAATATGTCCCATGGCAGCCACGCATGGTCCATATTGGAGTCAAAATCTATGTACCGTAAAGTGATCTAATATGGACCATGCCTGGCTGACATTCATGGGGCACATTTTGATATCTAAATGTGTCCTCCTTAATCAACACAATGGAGGCCAAGGAATAGACTGCTATACATTTGTACTATGTGTCAAAGAGTAGCCAAAAGAAGGTGGTCCAAATTACCTCGCCTGGTCCACATTAGACCATTTGACGGTAGTCCTCCCAGGTACGGACTTGGACGTCAAAAAGACCTAGGTCCAGGAGCTCCAAAGACATCGAAAGAACCCATTTTCAACCCGCACTGCGACTTTGTTGTTCTCATTGGGAATGATAAATCACTGATAACTCAACAGAGTGCATTTCACACTGTAGTATATTAGTGTGAATAGGCATGCACACTGTACGCACACTGTACAGTGTGCATGGTATGCACACAAATGCTCTAAAAACTCAACCATTTCCTTGCATATGCATATGCGTAACTTTCGAAAGAGGGAGACATCTCCACTTTCCTCGTAAAAAAAGCTGCCAAACGAGCGACCATGCGATATGGTTCAAATTGACCACTACCGAAGCTGTTTCGAATATTTCGGTAACGTTAACTAAGTTACGGTAGTGGTCGATATGAACCCTATTACATGGTAGTTCGTTTGAAGGCTCTTCTCCCGAGGAAACTAAAAATGTCATCTAATTTCCAAAGTTATGCGTCTGAAAAGAATTAATGCCAACTGTTGAGTTTTCAGAGCAATTGTGTGCATGCTAAGCACACTGTTTGTACAGTGTGCATGGCATGCACACTGTTGAGTTTACAGTGTCCTTTTAAAATAATAATTTTGTTCGTATTGCAAAAAAAATGTCTCCTTTGTAAAAGCCACGAAGGAATACTTCGTAATTTCGTGGGACTTCAAATCACAATTACCAAAGGGAATCATTCGCAATCGGTTCGCATTTAAATAGCTGCGTGGCTAAAATTGTTGGCAGCTTTTTTACAGTGTAGTCTCTGGTGATATTTCTATCCCCAGTCATGCAGCAGTTGGTGGCAGCCGCCGCCACCAGCGCCGTGAGCGCGTAATCCAACCCCCGGCAAATTAAATCGATATCCGCGTGACGCAACGAGAGAGGCAATGCGATATCTAATTGGTCGAAACGACGTCACCCCCGCTTATCGCGCTCATTTAGATGTTTGTTGTGAGTTGTGAGTTGTTTTCTTTTGTGAGAAATGTATACAACACCCACCAACCCCTCCCCTCCTTTTTCTTCCACCTTCTCCCATACATAAACTTAACATTCTGCTGCACCCACTTTCCAACAAGGTGTGCAGGACGTCCCCCACCGCGCCCAGAAGGAGTGACTAGGGGATGCAGCCCTGCCGCGGTGCAGAGGACACAGCAGGGTGTGTTATGAGAGGCAGGCCCTCCGCCCCTACCTCCCCCCCCCCCCCCGCGCTAAATGTATGGAAAGTAAAACAATTTACTTTATGAGCGCTACACTCACGTCTCGCTTCTTTCTTGTTCCGAGCGTGTACGCTGCGTCCCTTACTGCCCCCCCCCCCCTACTACCACCACCACCACCATTTCCCTCCCGGCCCACTCGCAATATAAACATGCGCTATTTTATTTTTACTCTTGTAAAAAAACGCAAGAGAAAAAAAAACAAAACACTATGAGCATAACTCCCAAGCACTTTCTGACTGACCAATACGAGGGGCAAAGGGCGGGGAGCGCTTTATTTCTACCAAGCTTCCACAAGACATCAGTATGTGCACTTTATTCGCAAAGCCTCCATCAAGTCATTAAACTGATTCTGCGTGAGGAATGCACAACGCTTTAAAATGAAAGAAAGTGGCGTGTCTTACCCACAAGTCGAACGCAGCTGGTCACGTCCTCTTGTAGTCACTAAACCACACACGATCAGCCGCGCACACACACGCACGCGACTAGCACACAACGTAGAGGTATCCAAATTATCCAAAGCAATGGGTGTCTTGCGAGTGTCTTCAAGGGACCTGCAAGAAAGGAAGAAAGGTCATGTTTACTAGAGTGGTTTTCAAATCACGTGCTTAGAGAGGTACAACATGTGGTTCTGAATTTAACCGCTGGCCCTTCAATCAGAAACGTGAATGTTTTAAAGAAAGTTTACGTGTAGAAATTATTTCTTCTTCTCAGTCGCCCATGCGGTGACCACAATTGCGGTCACGCAGGACTCCGTGGGGGTGGGCCAATGTTTTGGCCGGGTAGCTAGGCCGATATCGGTCAATAACAAACACGGTTGGACGGCTCAATCGAAGCCTCCGACGACATCCTCCTCATGGGAGTGGGCAGCTCGGTGACCCCGCAAATGTCAACGGGAAACGACCAACCAATCAGGGCACACACAGTCATTCGTGGGTGCACGGCCGCCCCCGCCCCAGGCCAGGCCTGACACCGGCGATCGTACCAGCGGCCTAGCAGGGCGCTGACGGACACTCCATCCCGCAGGACGTCGTCGGCGCGAACACCTGCACGCGGGGTGTGTTTTGCAGTGGCTTCAACCCCGCCGCCCCCTCCCCGCCCGCCGGCCCGGGCCCCGGCCCTTCCGCGACCCCCATTTGGCCCTTTACCGTCGTCGTTGAGGTCCCCCACCCCTCCCCTTGGCAGCGCCACGCCGCGCCTCTCCAGGAACGCGACCCAGGTTGCCTCTAGCACGGCGCAGGTCCTCGTCGCACACCCCCAGCACTCACCAGGCGCCCCGGGTCCAGGGCGGCGCACGCAGGGCGGCGCAAGCAGCGCGCCAGGCACAACCAAAATGGTGGCGGGGTGGAGCGGCACAACACTAGACTGAGCGGACGCGGGCGCGGGGAGGGCGGGTCTGGCCGCGGACGCCTGCCGGGGCACGTCGGGGACCGTCCTGCGCGCCGTGCGCCCCGAGGACGACGAGCAAGGGCCCCAGAGAGAGCCGAGGTGGCCGCACAAAGCGACAGGCTAGGCCACGCGAGTCGGAACGGCACAGGCGGTGTTCCCCCGTCAACCTCCCAGCTTCGTAACTCCGAAACAACTGACTGCCGGAGCAGCGGCGGCGCCCGTGGTGGTGGCGGCAGCGACGTCCGTCCAGGCGGCCATGGCACCACCCCGTGCGCCCCCACCCGGCCGCGCGCCGCTGCGGCAGGGGCCGCGTGCGAAACGCGGGCCACCCGCACTCGGCACGGCCTCAGCGAAAGCACCTCTAGGACCCTCGCCGATTTTCTTCAGTTATGGAGACCCAACAGTGTTTTCTAGGGGGAATTTTCGCGTGTCTTTTTCCTTTTTCTGTATTTTTCCGGTCATTGTGTCCCCTTTATTGAAGGTTTCCGTGGACCTGAGGCGGCCGCGTACGCCGTCCCGCTCCCTCCCGGCGCCCGGCCGCGGGTGCGACGGAGACGCGACGCCGCGGACGCGGACGCGCCGCGTCATCATGGCGTCGCGGCGCTTCCCTCCGGCGAGCCGCGTCGCCATCTAGCGGGGGGCGCGCGCACCGCCTCGCCGGGGTCCTCGCCGCCCGGGCCGAGCGGAGCGAGCGCGGGGCCGCGTCCGGAAACCAACGCGTCGCGCTTCCTACTCACACCTTCGATCCCGCGGGGGCGGGGCGGGGGCGGGCGCCGGGGCGCTGCGCTCGGACGCAGCCACCAACCCACCCCTTCCCCCTTGCCCAGAAGCTGCCAGGAACGGTCAATACACGGCCTGGCCAGAGCCTCGCCTCTCCTCGGGAACCCCGGCCCTGCCTCCACATCCCCTGCCTCGCCCCACCCCTCGGCGCTGGAGCAGAGGAAGCAGAGCGAGCAGAGCAACGGCCCAACGCGCAGTCGCCTGGCCTAAGGCCTGGCACTGGCACGTCCTGTGCGGCCTCCAAACCTCACCGCGCTCCGCCTAGCTCCGTCGGGTGCCTCGAGCGCGGGGAGGGGTGAGGGGGGAGCGGAGGAAGAGAGAGGACGACGTTCTTGAGTAGGCGTCCTCGCCACGCGCCTGGACCACGCTACACTCTGTCCCAGCCCCGAGTCGCGCTCGAAGCACTCGGAAGAATGCCAATGATTTCTTCAGTTGAAATGTACCGTGTCAGTGTCAGGGCTACGACACCGCAGTGTTGCAGGATTGCCTGCCCCGGTGGTCCTCGGTCCTGGCACCTTTCAGTCAGAGCGGGGGGCGAGTAGGCAAACCCACATGCAGCGGTGGTGTTACCCTGCCACACAGTGTACTAGATTTCTCTCATACCGACCTCATCCTTCCCGACAGTTACGATCTCCGTCCTCCGTTTGGATGGGACTGGCCCTGATTAGCGAATCGGAATACTCACAACATTATAGCATATTAGCTTACTCAATTTATTTTAAAATCTAATTTAGAAAATTTAAGATATTAGGCCCATGTAGTAGGAACATTTAAAACTACAACAGCCATAGAAGTATACAAAAATAAGAGAACAAATTATATGCAAGAAAAGGACTAAACGTACTCGGGAGCAGAAAAATAATAACTCAATGGATGAAATAAATGAATCAGTTCTACATAAACATATCATCATAACCAGGAGGTGGCAAATGATCTGGATCAGGCTCAAATCCTCTTCCAGGTCGGCCAATTCCTGGAGGTCCGATGGGATCAAATCTAGCACCAGGAACTCTACCCCTGTAGAACAGAAAAATTGTCCATTAATTTTCTGTCGCTGTCAACGGAATTGGTGTTTCAGGTTGGTTCTCTTTTCATACCTTGGCAAGCCACCTGGAGGCTCCATTCCTCTCCCTCTTTGGAATGGATCAAAGAGCATACCTCCTAGACCTCCTCTGCCTGGTCCTCCAACACCAAGAGGATCTAGATCTGATCTCCCATAATTGAATGGACTGTGAAAAATAACATGAAAAATTAGCAAGCAGGTTTTTCAGTCAAAAAGAACATAGAGGTTTGTAGTTGACTGGAAAACTTACTCCAAACGAGGTGGCCCACCAGGTCCACCAACACCAATTGGAACTCTAAGAGGATCACGGTATCCCTCTCTAAGGGACCCAATATCCTCAGACCGTGGAGTAGCCTGAGAAGATGTCTGAGTTGTTGCTTCTGATGATATCTTTTTGGTGACTGGCTCGACTAGTTCCTTGCGGATGCGATCAATTAGCCCAATGTGGGAGGGTACCATTTTTTCAACTGTGCCATTGATATCAGCCACCACTTCAGTCACATTGACAGCTAGATTGGAAACATTAAGATCAGGAGTATGCTGTGGACAAACGCAAAAATAATTAGGTACATCAGCAGGATAGTCAACAGAAAAAAAAAGAAATATCTGTCATCATCCGTACCAACAAGTTGAGGATCAACGTTTCATCAGCACGCACTCCCCTCAAAATGAAGAGATTTCCATCATAAACATAACGAAGGGAATATGTTTCAGGATCGCTCCACCCAGTAGGTAAAAGCTCACTACCATTTTCACTTCCAGACAATGTTTTCTGTAAAATCGCAAGATCAATGTTAATATTTTAAAACAGAAAACAGAAAGTTGCAATTAGACAAGATAGCATTACGAAATACTTCACCACAAGAGGTTATGGCAAGGTAACATTTTAAGATCACAAAAATCGGAAGGAATGGACGACACAAATAAATGCTGGTTGTCAGCGTTCTGTTACATGTTAAGTCCAGAATGAGCTAAAAACTCACATCATCGCCTAAACCAACACACCGGAATCCAAATTTAGTAAGAAACCAATGGACAATCACTACAAGCACATCATCTTTCCGTTTAACTGCTTCCGAAACAGTGCGGAAACTGAGTTCCAGTCCAAAAGTATCGGAAGACATTGCGAAGAAACAGAAATATCTCTCAAAAATATCACAAAATCATCATTGCAGCATAGCAGTGTTTGTTGTGAAGCTGTTCATCTCCGGGACGGACTCGAGGTAGGATCTGAGAGAGAGGAGAAGAGGAAGAGGAAAAGTGGGAAGGGGTTGAGAAGCAGAATGACAATCTTACCGCTCTTCACAAAAAAAAGAAATACCTCACTGAATAATGTGTTGTTTTTTTTATTTCGAAAATTTTCGATAAAAAACATGAAACAAATTTATGACCTAGTGTTTAACAACACCCATGTTTTCAGTTTTGGTGCTTTAAGTTCTTGTTTTACTATTCTAGAAGTGCACAAGTGTGAATCGTAAAATGGCTGAACGCAAACGCAATGTCAATACGAATAACCATCTTTTCCTAAAGTCCGCATTCATTCGCATTCCTCATTTGTTTTGTTGTTCAGCTTGGGTTGTAATTTAGGGAGTGATTTGTAAGATTGTTTTGCTGATTTGACAGATAATTTCGCGCAACCTTCAATTTCAAAAAATTCTACCATGGATTATACACCTCCACCAAACGATCTGACATCCTTTAACCATATGGTTAGAACTGATATGTTTATTTTCGCCGTGACACTGTGATGTATTCATTGCATTCTTTATCAATGAATTTGTGAGACAAGGGAAGGCATGATACGGGACCAAACATACAGAAATGAACACTATCGGACATTAAAATACGTCAGTAAAATTATGGCCATTATATTTTTGCTTTGGTTCGCTATCACATTCCTGGCTCGTGTCAGAGGTAAGCTTATCCTCCCTATTTGCATAATATTACTTAGGTTAGGTTTGTTTCATTCATCCATTTTGACAGCTCAGTTTTGTTTACTTGCTGTTATAACTGCTGTGCCATTTGATGTGTATCACTCATGGTTACTATTCTGATTTTCTAGGATCTGATGACAGAATAGGTGGTTCTAATCTTCAGCCACAGTTGGTAATTTTACCAGAAGTAAGAAATAGTGATAATATGTTACATAAAAGAGTATCTGATTCATTAAATTTAACTTGCCGCATTAATTTGAGACCTAATGCAATTGGCTCAAATGAATTTAGTATATCTTGGATGCGTCCTTTGAATGAGTAAGTCCTTGTTATTTTGAAATTATTCTAATTCTTTTTTAGTTTAAACAGCATTTTAAAGTTGATTGCAATATTAAGTGACCTCTGTTATTTTCTTATTAGAAATGCAAAGAACGAATCTCCAAAAACTTCTCTCAGTGAAAATTCAATGTCACTGTATATTCCTTATCTATTAGAATCTCACAGTGGTGAGTATAAGTGTGAGGCTCGAGAAATAAGTAAAAAGACTACTGGAATTGTCCTCCAAACATCAGTTCAAGTCTTTATTTTAAGTAAGTATTCTGTAAATTTTCATTCTTGTCCATTGTGATGGAATGTTGCAGTTTCTCATGTTCTTACAAATTATTTTTCTCTCAGAAAACTACAACTGTAGTCAAAAAATGTTTGAATGTCCAAGTAAACCAGCTGGTCCATCTCATTGCATCTTCAAGAGATATGTATGTGATGGCAAACAAGATTGTGCCAATGGAGAAGACGAAAGTGCTCATCTTGCCAATTGTGGTAAGTATTTGAAGATACATTAGTTCTATCTATCTATTCTTACTTGTAAATTAAATAGTCACATAAATGTCTTTTTGTAGATCCTGTTGACCCATGCAAAGATAAGCTGCTTTGCGATGATGGGCGATGCATTCCCCACAGTTGGTGTTGCCCAACAAATTCAAAATTGGACTGTAATATAACATACCCCTACAAGGAATGTTGCAAAAGTAAGCCCAATTAAACATATAATTTTCTGTTACTGTGTGTCTGATAACACATTTAAAATTTGATACATTTCAGGAATGAATGATACTCTTTATCCTTTTGATCACTTGCCAAATTTGAAAGGTAGTTTTTATCTTCTCTCTGATACTGTCTGATTAGAACTGTACTTACAACTAATGGTTATGATTATGTGTGAAATTGTTGTAGGCTTGATGGAAGATGCTGATCCTCCCACTTTAAGCCACATGGGTTTTCTTCAGACGACTATTTTCACTGTGATTGGCAAGTAACATAGTTGGTGTATTTTATTTGTGCATAGTAATTTTGATTCCTCTCACTGGAATACTTTGATCTCATTTCTAGGTTGTGCAATGGCCTTTATGGTTATTGTGACTATTCTTGTTATTGCAATATGCCGAGTACACATGAAACGTAGCTTAATGGCAGGAGCCACAATAAGTCCTGGGGCTCATCTCAGTGGTGCTCGCCCTGGAATGGGTAGAATACCTCAACAGATGTATGACGTTGACTTGTTCTTTGGGCACACTCGGCCTGGTCTTTTAGTGACTTACAATATCAATAATGGCGTCCAGTTTGTGGGTAGGCCAGTAGATCCTCCACCATACTCAGAAGTTGTTTCTACTCCTCCAAGAGAAGGCCCACCACCTCCTTATGTATCTCATGAAAATCTGTCAAGGTAAGAAAACTCTATCTTGGCAGTTATATAATGTGAACACATTTATTCTTAATCAAGTGAAAATTTGATATCAAAAACTGTGTTGAAATTCCAGGACTGTGGCAACAGAGGATTTATCTAGGTACATATATTTTCCTGTCAGTGCTTTAAAAAAAGGTAAAAAAATGTGCATTTGAAATGATATCATCTTTTTTTTTGTACTTGCAGAATAACAGCTGTTGAAGATGACAGTGAAGACAATGTTGCTCATGAAAGTGATGCTCTGTTGAGTGAAATTCCACCAGCAACACCAGTCTATTCTCCACCCTCAGTGGCTAGGGACGAACCAGTAACAATGGCCTCTTGCAGCACTCAAACAGGCAATCCTGAAACAAGACGTAGTATGCGCTCTTTACTAGCAGTTCCAGTGACAGTGGATGCAGGCACTCAGGTGACATGTGTGTCAGAAGGATATGCTTCACCATCTGTATCGGTAGAAAGATTGGATAGACCCTCTATAGGGATGATACCGCCTGCGCTTCGTGATGCAGCTGTAGGTCGTTTGAGGGAGAGCTTTATTGGTTTGAGAGAGAGAGGGAAAGAAGAACCTATGATTGCAAGTGTTTCCAAGCAGTCTTGTTCTGTTGAAAGTAGACCATCTCGATCAGGCAGTAGAGATCGCTCAGAAACATGATGTATTATCGTTACTTGTTCGATAATGAATGGCTTCTTTGTATATTAACATTATGAGTCTTGAGTATTATGTAAAATCTCTATTTGTTTTAACATGTGAGAAGGGTACCAACTGTGTGATGATGTTATCTTTTTTCCCCCCATAAGGGTATACATGAATGTGTTTTGTGCCATTACTTTATTCTCATTTTCTAATCTGTCTAAATTTGTTTTTAGAACACAGTATTAGTATTTTTAAGACTGTATCTTGGACCCAATTACAACCACTGTGTGGTGGCTGAAGGCAAATGTAGAAGCCTCATGATTACCATTTGTCATAGTTAATTTCATGTTTATGGTTTTCATGGCAAGAGCTGTGATAAGCTACATCGATCGTAAAGCATGAATATGGGGTAAGTGTGATTTTCCTCTCATCCATATTTTCCATTTCTTTGCTCATATTTTGTTAATTTTAATTGTATTGCTATGTACATTACATATCTTTTGTTGGGGAAAACCACAACAAACTCTTATCATATCA